CGGCCGCGGGGGGCGGGGGTGGCTCTGCAAGTGCCCCGGGCAGTCGCGCAGATTTGCCTTTGGTTGGGCATGTTGCTGCCAGCCCCGTGGCGGGCGGGTGGGAAGCGGCAGTTTGGGGGCAGCGGAGGAGCTGGTGTTGGTTCCTTTAGGGGGTTTCTGGTAAAACTGCAGCAATGGGGAGTAAATAAAGGTGCTGCAGTGCCCGGCTGGAGAAGTAACCTCTGCGTAGGTACGGCCAGGGGTAAATCGCCTTTTTTACAGGAATGGTACAAGCACAGCTACAGCAAATGCTCGGGGAAAGGAGGATGAAGGTTGGGGAACCGAGCGAAGGCAGACATGGTTTGAACTATAAATGTGCTGTAGAAGAGATGGGCTCAAGGGTAATTGAGTTATGCTGGCATTGCCCTGGCTTGAGGCAGTCTTCTGGTTCATCTTGAAAGGACCGCGTAAAAATGGGAAATCGCTCACTGGACTATTCTGTTTTTTAAGGAGACACTGCTGAAAGGATTAATCTTAAATTCCCCAGTGAAGCCACTAGAAAAGTCTGACGCGTTTCCCACAGTGAGCAGTGAGACTGCACCAAGCTTTTGGCTATTTCTTGCACAGAGCAGACTGAGGATAATATTTCTGCAGAAGCTTAATTAAGTGCAAATGCTTGAGCATTTAGTGCACCCAACTAACCTGATTTTGATGCGTTCCTCCCCAAAACAGCCCCCAACCACCCCAGCCTGCCTTAGAGGCTGGGTTGGGCTCTTCTCAGTCACTGACCCCAGTTTGTTGGATGTTTTTATGACGGATAACCAGATAACTTGCTCCTGGCTTTTACGCTGGAATAGATCTTGCTTTTTTTAATCTGAGTGGGATTTGCCATGTAATGTCTTTTCTAGGACTCCGGTCGTCACAAACAGTTGTGCTGGACCTCCCATAAACTGGGGAACTATTTTGTTCAGGGAATAAACTTTTTTTTTTTTTTTTTTCTTCTTAATAATGTTCAGTCTGTGAAAAGGCTGTAACTTTTCTCAAGGGCGAGAGCAGGCGGGGGTTAATGTGACTGGGGCCAGATCCAGCAACCCCCGTGGGGATGCGGGAGGGGATGCCCCCTCTCCGGGCCTGTTTTGCAAAGCCTGTTAAGTAAAGCTGTGTATTGAGCGCTGTTCAGCTCCAGCCCGGCTTTCTGGAAATCCTGTGTACATAGGCTTGTTGTCTCTTACTTATTTATTTAGTCAATTAAGTGATGGGCTTCCCAGCCTGAGGAGACCCCGGCGCTGCCACGGGGAGGGCTGGGGCTGTCTGCCCTCTGTGCCTCTGCTCTCTGGGAAGCCTCTGGTGCTGCTGCTCCCCTGGGCCTGCCGAACAAGCTCTCCTTTTCATGTTGGGGCTCAACCCATGCCTCCGGGGAGCTGTGGGGCAAAGGGGGGCTCCAGCCTCGCCTCCCATCCTGTTGTGGGACAGAAATGCCTTTGCAGGTTTGCTGTTTGTTGGGTGGGTGGCTGCTTGCCAGGCTGCCCTGGCTGGGTCAGGTCGGTGCTGTGCAGGCAGGGGCTGCCTGCTGCCCTCCTCCTGGCCCCGGTGGGTGCGTGGCAGCCCCTCTCTGCTCCTGGGTGACCCCCCACAGCTGCCTTCACCCCCAGCTTTACTGCCCTGGAGCTTGCCCCGGCATTTGCCTTGTTTGCACCAGGGCCCAGGCAACCTAGGTGGCTTTTTGCAGCAGGACAGAGGGACACTGTGGGGACAAAGCTGCTCCCTGGGGCAGGGCTACACACCCGTGTTTTCTGAGGCTGGGAGAGCCTGTAATGCACTACCAATTTACTGTCAGCAGCTGTTTCGTCTTGGCAGGTGCCTTCTCCCTGCAGTAGGAACCAGGGCAGACCCTCCTCCTCCTCCTCTGGTGCCCATCTGGATGAGACGGCAGGCACGGGGCTGTGGAGGTTTGCTGCAGGTCCTGGGTCTGCTGGGCTGCACTATCGTGGCCGCATGGGCACACCACGGGCCCGGGGAAAGCCTGCGCTCGCATCTCAGCCCCACCACGGGCCGGGGGAAAGCCTGCGCTCACATCTCAGCCCCACCCCGGGCCTGCCGGGGAGGGAGAAAGGGTTTTTCAGCCTCCTGCCTCGATGTGCTGGGGTCCCACCTGCCACCCTCCCTGTGGCCCCAGGTTGGTCCCCGGTGGGCTGCATCCCATCCCACACCCTCCCCAGCCCATCCCAGTGGTCTGGGATGGCCGTTCCCTCATTCCCCTCACCGGGGCAGCCCTTGCCAGGGAGGAGTGTGTGCTTCCTGCAGCCAGCACCCCCTTGTCTCCTGTCCTTAGAAGAGGGGCAGTTCCGAGCCGGAGCCCATCCCCGCGGCCTTCTGGCTCCCAGCGGTGCTGTGTCCCCTTGGTCAGCAGCCAAACACCCCAGCACTGTGGCAGCAAAGGGGGAGCCGCTTCTGTGTGTCCCTCCCACCCTGCGCTGTTCCCCATCCCCCAGGAACCAGCCAGCCCAACCTGCAGCCCTGCCACCTGGAGCTTGTTAATCTTTCCCAGTGGGCAAATCTCCAGGGTTTAGCACTGAAGCTTTCACTTTTTTTCCCTATGCAATGTTGTGGGCGTGTTGCAGCCCCTCTTCACACTACATGAAGGTGCTCCTGGGGTCGGCCCTGCCCCAGCCACTTCCCATATGTGGCATTTTCCTGGCAAAAGCCTTTCAGCCCCCCTGCCAGCACCTTCAGCCTGTCAGTGCATCAAGGGGAGCACCAGCCTTTCACACCCCCAATGGGCTCCAGCCCACCAAACCCCCAGGAAAACCCCGGCTCGGAAAGAGGAGCTGCAAGGCAGTGGCAGTGGGCAATGTTTATTGGGCCAGGACCCTACGCATCCCCCGGGGGATGCAGCTGCTGGTCCCTTCTGCCAGGGAGGGGGCAGGAAAAAAAAGCCTCCTACCAACTTTCTACAATAAATAGTTAAAACAGCTTGTTTTGGCCAGGCCAGAGCTGGGGAGGCCTCCCCGAAACTGCTGCTGCTGGGGGGGGAGCGGGGGTGTAGGGGGCAGCAGTGGTGCTCATGCTCAGCCAGAGCCTGGAAACACAAACCCCAGCCCCATGGAGGGGATTGTTTCTTGCAACCAGGGAAAGCGTTTACTTTTAGGTAGGACCCTCCTGGGCAGCCTCTCTCCACCTCCACTGTTTGCCCTTTGCTGTGCCTGAGCCCTCCCTGCTCTGAATTTGGGGTTGCTGGGCTGGGACCTCCTAGAGGATGCTGGAGTGGCTCAGGGCTGGGTACTGTTTTGGCCCATCCGAAACCAACAGAGGTCAAGCAGAGGTGTTTCACTGGCTCAACCGGGCTCTGAGAAATGCTTAATTTCTCTCTGCTGCACTCAAGCATGGAGTGCATCACCCAGAGCTGCCTGAGCTGGTGCTCCCAGCTGCGCCGGGGGGAGGGTGAGCTGGGGAGTGAAGCGGGGTGCTGAGGCATGCGTGGGGATCACAGGGGCAGAGCCGGTGCGTCCCCAGCCCCAGCTCACGGCCGGGAGAGGCGGACAGGGTAGGTGACCATGTTGAAGCTGTCCCAGGCGAAGAGCCGCCGCTCGGTGGGGTTATAGTCCACCATGCTGAGGTAGCGGAAGCGGTTCTCGAAGGGGATGCTGAGGGTTCGGCTGGTGCTGGTAGCCGTGTTGTAGGCAAAGTTGATGGTGGCGTTGGGTGCCGAGTAGCTGCTGACGGTGTAGAGGGTGCCGCAGATGAGGAAGGAGTTGGCCACCCCTCGCTTGCGGATGTTGGTCTCCCAAGTCTGCCGGATCTCCAGCGTCTCAGGGTCCAGCTTGGAGAGGACAATGGCCCCCCTGGCCTTCTCAGTGCTGTATATCACCCAGAGCCCTGTCTCATCCACTGCGAGGTCGATGTCGGTGTAGCCCCCCCAGGAGTAGGGGTACTGCCCGTGGTAGCCGGCACCAGGGATCTCCCTCTCAGCCGTGACGGCCTCTCCCCGCAGGTCGTAGCGGGCCACAGTGCGGGAGCGGCGGGGCTGGAAGAAGAGCCCGCCGCGGTAGACAACAGCCCCCGTGCTCTCTAGGGGCTGCGGCAGGATGTGCACCTTGGTGGGGTAGCCCTGGGCCAGCTGCTCGGCCGCCTCGTACTGGAAGAGCTGGCGGACCTCCGTACCCACCGCATCCACACGCCAGGTGGTCTCCCGTGTGAAGGGGGGCACGGGCTCGGGGTCCTTCATCCACACGCCATACTTGCCAGCGATGGAGTCTGCCCGGCCGAAGACAACAGGCTCCCCCACCCACACCAGCTCGCCGCAGCCTGCTTGGGGACAGGAGGGGAGAGAGAAAGGGGTTATTGCTCAGCAGCGGCGCCTGGTGACCCCCTCAGGAGGGCCGGGGGGTATTTGTGAGCAGCGGAGCGTGGGGCTGTCCGGCCATGCCGGTGGCAGTACCCGAGTCCTCGCCCCCCGGGCGGCTGAGCGCGGTCTCCTCCAGCAGCCGGGATGCGGGAACCTCCGTCCTCTCCGACTGCAGCTCCTGGTAGGCAAGGGTCTGCGGATCCCAGCTGGGGGCTGCGGCAGGGCCAGGCGCAGGGTGAGTAGGGGCCGAGCCAGCACCCCTCAACACCGTGCCTGCCCACACCGCCCTCAGGGGGCTCCACGTTGGCCCATTGCCCCCCGAAATGCCAACGCCTTGGTTGCGAGCCCAGTTCCCCCTCCTGCTGCAGCAGGGCACATCTGTGACCCGCTGACGGGACCCCGCTCTGCAGATGCTGACGCTGTTGCCCCCCCGGTTGCAGGGTTTAATGCTCCTTGGGGAAAATGCCTAATCCCCCCGGCTTAGCGCAGTCCCCTGTGTCCCCCCCTCTGCTGCGGGGTGGATGATGGGATGAGGAGGGCTCCAGCTGCCAGCCCTGAGAGGGATGGGGAGGGGGTTTGGTGCTGTGACACCCCCCGGCAGAGCTGAGCCCTGCAGAGGGTGAGCACCCTGCCAGGGTCCCCAAGAGCGGGGGCAGCGCCCGGGGGGGAGGCAGTGGCAGGGATGGGCAGGGCCCCCCGGCCCCGGCACTCACCTTTGCCGGGGGCACGCAGGGCGTC